GAGGCTGGGGTTGCGCCGCCCCATGGCGCTTCCCGAATCCCCAACCCCCCTCCCCACCGGCCGCCACGCGCCAACGAAGTCGCGCGGCCGCGCGGACACGTCCGCGGGGTCGGCGGCCTGGCCGCGTCTGCGGATTCGGCCGCGCTTGGCCGCCGGTGAGGGGGATTCACTGCTCCTATCGTTCGAAATGCGGAATAAAGATTCGAGCGATAGGGCCCAAAGGATGATGCAACGCTACTTGGTGAGAGATGATCATCTTTTCATAAAGAGACAAGTGAGAAATCCTAGGAGGGTCGTATGCGGCAGAAACCATCAGATTGATGTTATAGCTGCACTTCACGATGGCATTGAGGGTGGACACCGAGGAGATAGTGCCACATATGCCAAGATAAGTGAGCTATATTATTGGGATGGGATGATGGAGATGGTTGGTAAGTTCTGCCGGTTCTGCGTACCTTGTCAAGAGCGATCTCGTCTGAGGTCGGGAGAGCCACTACATCCAAGGCTGGAGAGGGAAGTAGGGATCGTCGTACATCTCGACTTACTCTTCATGCCACTTAGGGATCATGACTACAATTACATCTTCGATGCGCGTGATAACCTTTCTGGCTTTGTAGATGGGCGGGTCAATCGTACAAAAACCGGACCAGTCCTGGTTAGCTGATCGAGGAGTACTACCTGCGCTATACCTTTGTCAGAGAATTCGTAATGGATAGAGGATCAGAGTTTACCTGCCAGGAGGACCAAGAGTTGTTATCAAGGTATGGCATGGTAGTCAATTATACCACGGCCGCGCACCCCCCCGCAAACGCTCCAGTGGAGAGGGGACACAACACCATTACGAACCTTCTGGTTAAATGGACTGAAGGTAGGCCTAATCAATGGCCGAGATACCTGAGGGCGATATTTCTTGTCGAAAATATTACGGTGAAGAGGACCACTAAATACGCACCAGCCACGCTGTGGTATGGGAGACACGCTACCTTCCCAATCGAGAGCTTCCTAAAGACTTGGAGGCGTCAGGATTTGGAGGTCAACCTGTCTTTCGAGGAATTGCTCGATATTCGAGCGCGGCAGGTGGGTGCGATAGAGGAGAGAATTCAAGAGGCATCCAACCAAGTGGAAAGAAGCCGTATGGAAGATAAGGTTCGATGAAACCAGTCGACGCGAGTAAGGAAAGTACCATTGGCAGTTGGGAACGTCGTACTCTTGTATGACTCGTCCTTGGAGAAGCAGTGGTCCAGGAAACTCGACAAGAGGTGGTTAGGTCCCTATCGGATTGTGCGATGTGAAGATTTCGGTGCATATCAGATTGAAGAGTTAAATGAGACAGAATGGAAGGATTGGGTGCCAGGAACGAGGCTGAAGAAGTTTGTGGCAAGGGAAGAGGTAAGATAGACGATCTAGCTTCTTTAAAGTGGGATGATAAAATGTGTAGAATAGATAGGGGTGTATGATGAATGTGTTTGGTTTGACCTGAGCCTGTTTTATTTACCACCTGTTTGCTTACCCCAATGTGTGTCTGTTGTCTCCTTCACCTGTTGTGGAGGTCTGACTTACGAAGACAGCCATGCCAAGAGGAGGGAGGGGGACGCGGCCGCCACGGAGGCCGTTGGGGGCATCAGGAGGATACGGGCGGCATGGGACTCACCACCGAGAGAGTACGCCGGTATATGATGATGGGGATATTGAGTTGTTCCTGGATGATTTCTGGGGGTATGCAGAGCATATGGGCTGGACCATGACCCAGGCGATCGAAAGGCTGAGAGGAGCCGACAGGTTCGCGGAGCCCATGGCACAGATTCGTAGGGAGGCAAGGACGAGGCCAGAGGTGGAGGCGGGGATCCAGGAGCTACGACCATCACCTGTGGGACCTGATGGCAGACCGATCCGCCTGAAGATCGAGAATGCGGAGGAGTTCATTCCCGCCTTCGAGAAGTTCATGCATGACCAGGGCATGTTGAGGGATGAGTGGGCGAGGACATTGCCCCTATGGACCAGAAAGGCAGAGAGGCCCTTGGCTAGGCAGGTCAGGGACATGACTCGGGATTGGGAGAGCTGCAGGGCCCACTTGAGAGAGGTATTCTGACGACCAGAGCCGCCTCAGCCCAGAGTCGAGAGACGCCAGAGCAAGAGGCAGAGGGACCCTGAGCCCAGAGAGACCAGACCATCTCGAGGGGGACGGAAGGCACTCGCCACGCGTGAGGAGGAGTTGGTGCCCGAGGTTGAGGAGCGAGGGGCATACCCTGAGTGTGGATTGGGGCCGGTGGAGTTCCACCGCTTTACTGAGGGAGGACTGGGAGGATCTCCGCAGCGCGCACGAGAGGAGATGCCAACATCTGGAGAGCCTCTGCAGAAGTTGGAGACACATTTCGATGTCTCACAGTAGAGGGTACCGCCGACGAGCGAGGGACGTGACGAGCCAGCGAAAGAGGTGCCACGAGAGGAGGTTCAGGACCCCGAGCGAGAGAGGAGGCGGAGTACTGAGAGAGGACATGTTGTAAAGGAGGTGATAGAGGTTGAGGAGGATACTCCCCCTCAGACGTCGGCTATGGGGCTGAGACTTGGGAGCACACCAGAGAGCGCACACGGCAGAGAGGAGGGATTACAGCAAGAGGAGATTCCACTATCACCACCAGAGATGGTCCCTCCGCCAGGAGGAAGGGTGAAGAGAGAGAGAGAGAGAGAGTTGACCGAAGGAGAGAGGCCCTGGCTATGATTGATAGGCACCTGGCTGCACATGCCCTAGAGCACCCTGACTTGGAGGAACCCGTACCTAAGGAGCCATACCAGGAGCCACGACAGGCTGAGAGAGAGATGGGAGCGGAGATTCCAGAGAGAGCCGACCATCGCACGAAGGAGAGAGTGCCAGCAGGGAATACGGTTGAGGAAAAATGGGCCAGAGTAGGGAAACGTTTGGAGGAAATCTGGCAGGAAAGACAGAGATTGGAAGAGGCCGGGGCACTCCTAGATCAGCCACCACCACCCAAGCCGTACGGTATCAAGGAGATGCGGGATGAGTTCCTAGACCAGCATGGCGAGGGATTGACGACTCCAGAAAAGGCAGAGGTTGGGACTTCGAAGAAGGCGGATGAGTACTTGGACCGAAAGATCCACTTCCTGACCAAGACATTTTTCGATAGATATATGATGTTGGAAGCTGATCTGAGACGGAAGGAGATGAAGGAGATGAGTCATGGAGTACGTCTGGAGGCAGTTGAGGCTGAGGTCCGAAAGCTAAGAGCATTGGTGGCTAGTCAGGTTGCCATCATCCAGGACTTGAGACAGCAACCGCGAGGTGGGGCTGATAGGGCTGACAGGGAGGGGCCAGCAAAGGTGGTGGATAGGGCAGAGAGCAGCCGGCAGGGAGAGCAAAGACAAGCAGGGCATGGCTTATAAGGAAGGCCATCCGCAACTGAACTTCAGCAGGGGCCGTTCATGGGAAGAGCCATCTTGGAGCCTGAGGAGGCGAAAGCCAAGAGGGAGGCAGAGAGAGAGACCTTCGAGTTCAGAGTCCCTACTGAACTCACCACACTGCCTATAGTAGCACTGGAACCCACCATGCCACTATCAGTCGAGGAGGGGCAGCCGACGGCCAGCAACGAGCCTGTCCGAGGCTCAGCAGAGGGGTCTATGGATATGCTCCTTGAAGCAGTCCACACTATGCAGGCAAAGACAAGTTTATTTTCATCTGAGCAGAGGATAGAGGAACCTCCTGGGAGAGAGATGGGGACTGCAATAGAGGGTGTCATCAAGGGTAGGCCCCAGAGGTTGGATACGCCTGAGTATAGACCAGAGGGGGTTGGGATACGACCAGGGCCTACTACTCAGGAGTTGGGGACAGGACCTGAGGAGCCTATGGACGTACCTCAGAGTTACGAGTTGGGCAGGGAGGTCAGTGAGGCACCATCACCACTAGGGGCTCAGAGGGAGAATAAGAAGTCAAAGAAGTGGTTTGACGCATCCTGCTTCTTTTGCAAAAAGGAGGGTCATCGGACCTTGCAGTATCCTAAGTTCTTAAAGGACCTGGCTGAAGAGAAGATCACAGAGAGCGGCGGAAAGATGTATGATAGGCAGGGTAGGGTAGTAGAGCGATCTACAGATGAGGGCAGAGCTCAACTGTATAAACAGAACCAAGAGGAGATGAGTGAGTAGGGACTGGGTTGCCTACAGGCCAGTAGAGTTAGAGTTATTTGTACATAGAGATTGAGTTAAAGATGTACATTTTTTGGAGTCAGTCATGTGTGATCTGTCTATTTGTACATATATACTTTGTAGTACTTTACATATTTTTGAGATTCTTTTGTTGTGACTTAGGAGATAGTATTCAGTTATGTGACATATCTGAATGTGTAGTTACATTGTGATTTGTGTGGATAAATTTCATTTGTATTTTTTTTAGTGTGATTTGAGATTTTGTATATTTGGGACATGGGTGTTACTTGGTTGAGTGGAGTGGTGAGTTGGGTACCCATGATGTTTTTAAGAGGGACATTCTTTTTTTTTTTTGAGTATACATTGAGTTGAAACCTTATGAGGCTTATCGTTGTGTCGATCACTTTCACTCTCACTGTGTGGCCTTATCCTGATGTATGATGGTTTTGTGTGAGAGATGTGCATGATGCATCTCATGTTCTATGAATGTGAATCATGTAAAACTGTCTACTCTTCGGTATACTCGTGCGGCCTGCTTACGAGCGGATGTTTGGGTCGGGTATAAGGAGAGGGAGTGCAGTCCGTTTTTTTGAAAGATTGTGACAATCCTAAGGGATTTATAGGTCTCTGAGACTCGAAAGTTTTACCATACCAAAATGTTTATTGTTTGAGTTGTGACGAGGCGTCATAAGTTGGTCGCTTAGTGATGAGTTGTTTTATGAATTAGACCCCTTCAGTATGAGAAGGCGGTGATGTTTGTTTTGTTGGAAGACTCGGCTTCAGATGGGAGGTGTGTTAACAGGTCGCATGGGAGTTCATCCTAGAAAGAGAAGGGATGACTGAGAGACATATTGAGAGAGACCTCCTTCGTATGAAAAGGGGGTGAATAGATCCAATGGCATGGTAAGCTGATTTTTGAAATGATAAAGTCTGACGAGAAGGACCACGTTTTTACTTGGCCATTGTTGGAAATTCTAAGAAAGTCGCAATAAGCTTCATTGGGAGATGTCACCGGGAGGTGGTCATCTTGCTCTGATCAGGTGAGGAGGTCACGACCTTGTGAACCTGGCGGTGATTTTGTTTTGTGAAAGTGGAGAGGTTGCCGTGTTTCTCTGTGTTGTCCCACGGAGGACTGGTAAATATATTTTATGTGTGACAGACCTCTGCGTAGTCCCGCAATAGGCCTGTATTGTTGCGACACACCGTTTAGCCACTTGTGCTAATCTTGGGGCATTTATGAGAGACCCAACCAGGGGTATAACTGACATCACTGAGGCCCAACCCTCAGTGTTGGTTGCTGGTCGGCGCAACCTGACAGCGGGCCCACATCTCACCAGAAGCGGTAAAGACTTAAAGGGGTGTGGCCAGCCGCGGGATGGCGTGGGATAAGAGTCGAGTCTTTTGGAGTCCTGGTTGAATGCTTATCAGGAGAAAAAACATATCATGGCGCAACATGCGAGGGCACTACCGCTAAAATAACAAACGCGGTGGGCCATAGATCTGGAACGATCACCCAGGCTACGGTGGGCCAAGATGGAGACTTGGCCTTCCTATACTAGACTGCAGGAAGAGTCTGTGATGATATTTATGTGATGTATATATATATACTTGATTGTGAAAGTTTTGGGGGTGAAGGCGAGAGGATGCCTTCGAATGTCTCGGTTAGGGCTCGTGTCCCTGGTTATGGCCCTGCTTGCAGGGTAGAGACTAGGGACACTTAACGAGAAGCCAACGTTTGTCTAGAACAAAGGAGAGAGGACAGTGGAGAGGGGCCGTTGGAACTTATGTTGTAGTACGTATGTCCAGTACACCTGCGTCCTAGTGTCAGGACAAAGGAGACCCAGGTTAGAATCCTGGCGGCATATAGTTGTAAGGGCCTGGATTTTTGGAGGCCTCGAACCTGAGTAAGTCGGCTAATCGGATTGGTTCCTTTCTCGTCAGCATTTGGGTTGTGGATGATCTGATAGACTTTTGATTTTTGAGCGACGGGGACGTCGCTTAATATGGTCCGGTAAGTTGTCGGCGCGAATACCCTTACAAGGGTATCCGCCCTGTTTCTTGCAAGTGTCAAAAAGTCCAGGTAATTCGGAATTTTCGGGTGACCGTGCGAGTCGCGGCGGTCGTCTGAGCATGGATTGAGGATCGTTTGACTAGGATGAGTGAGTGAGCGCGCAGTTTTAAGGCACGGGTGTGATTTTGTTTTTATATTATTTTGTGCTGATCGAGAAGCCGGCGTAGTTGACCGGCTAAGTTTTGTTTATTTGGATAGATTAACGTTGGTTGTTTGTCCGGTGCACCTATTTGACGGTAGACTTTGATGTGCGGTGCGGCGTGCATAGAGGCCACGCCGTGGCCTGAGCTAGTCTGCGCAGACAGTTGGAGGCCGCAGGCTTAGATAAAGGCTGAGGGGTGGCCCGGGGTGTTCCTTGGCCCTGGGCGCTGCGCAACACCATTTATGTGGAGCTTTGGGCCTACTGGTTTCAGACTTGGGTTTAGTCCTATAGGTTACGGCATTGGATTCGTGACGCAGAGGTGCGGAGCTCGAGGCCAGCGGGCAACAACGGAGGAGCAGCGGAGCAGCATGGAGGAAACCGAGGGGTTGAGGGCCCGACGGGGGTATCTCCCTCAATTTTGTTGATAGACACGACGACAGGCCCGACCTACGGGACTGGCGAGATGCCAGTAGTTCCCGTTTCTCGTTTAGGATATCTATGTACCGGGTTTTATTTTTATTTGTTTTTAGTTAGTTGCCCCGTTCGCTTTTGGGACACAGAATAGTGACCGGGGCTGGTTCCCAAGAGCCTAGCTCAGTGGATACACCCTTGAACTGTTGGAATACAGACCGGTGTTCTAACCCGGATGATGGAACTTGACGAGTAAAACCCAGCAGTCTGAATTGCCGGGACCGCTCAGGCCTCGATGGCACCACGGGGCATTACCGGGGTTGGAGTCCTTCGGGACATCCGTTAAAAATTGAAACGATATAGGGAAGATTAGCACGGCCCCTGCACACGGTTGAAATGTATAAAGCGGAAGAGGAGCCCTGCGTTCTGGTTTTCCTCCTCCTCCAGTCTTTGTTTCCGTCGGGGCCGGAATATCGGGAGAGCAGCGCTAGGTAACGGCTGCTGATGCCAACGCGAGGGCGGAGGCAGCCAGCAGGGAAGTCGAGCCGAAGTGTCGAGGTATGCCGGGCCCGCGAGGAGACGAGTTAAACGCGGGGCCTGCTATGCTCGAAGCTACTGGAGTGACGGGTGACTTACGAGAGGATCACTACCGGAGCGCTCTGTTGACCTCAAGGCGGTAGGCACAACGCTAAATATTGGAGAAGAGGTAACGACTAGAAAAGAAGAAGTGAACCAGGCACGAATTCGCGCCGAGTACATTCGAAGAAAGGTACGACGGAGCGGACAAGAAGATGGGTATGGCAGGAGGGGAGTTAAGTGTCGTACTCATTTCTGGATGAAATCAGGCGGGGCGAGAGCCGGGTCTGAGGGTTTAAGGCGGGGTGAGTCAGATCGTGAGGTTAGTTTGAGAAGAGAGTTAGTAGACAAAGAGTTGGTAGAGATAACTGTTGTGCGGAGCTATGGCGGAGGGAGGAGTCGGACGCAGTTAGAAATTCGAGCGACACTTGATTCTTAGTGAAAATAAGCTGGGGAAGAAGCTGTACGGGGGTTTTAAGCCATCGCGAGTTGGATGGCATGGTCAGATTAGGATGAGAATTAGTGTAGAGAGAGATTAGTAGAAAAAGGGCTGCGCTAAGGCTATGGAGGAGGAGAGTGGAGGAAGACGTTCTTGCCCGTTTGTGGGTAGAGGTTAGCGGTCCAAGAGGCTGAAGTGGGGTTTGCGGCCATCACGAGTGTGATGGCAACGTCGGATTCGGAAGTGGGATGTTAGATTTTTTCTGGTGTAAGTGCTTAGAGCAGCGCGCGAGCCGGGAGTGCGTGTCAGTAAGGTGCGAATGCACCTAGTCGAAATCCAGAGGAGGATTCACCCTCATTTTGCACATTTGGAGAAGCCTATATCTGCGCGTCCGCTATTGGTACGACCAAAGTTGTGTCTAATTGTGGCCGTGACTGTGTTCGTGACCGCCACGACCATCATGCGCCTCGCCTCAACAGTATGATAAGAGGCCATCACGGTCGTAAAGTGGTCGGCTCTGACGGGGCGATCGTGGCCATCCTGTTTTTCAGACTGTGCTGCACATTGCTGGTCATTCGTAGTGGTCTTCCCTTTGTGGGTTGGTCGTTCACCTCATCGAAGGGATAGCTGCTTTGGCTGCTCGTCATTACGGTCATTCTCCTTATCAGAACTTATCGGCGCTCAACCAT